CTGTCTTCACATCTACATATACACACGCAAACAGCCGCAGCCAGCAAGTGCTCATGGAGTAACACGATATAAGCAATAAACGCTTTCCCCCAGCAAAAGTTAGGGCAGAGATTAGATAAGGTGGCTAAAACAAACTTTAAGCACCATGGTGGGAGCTTGACTGGGCTGTCCTTTTTCTCAGCTGAATAAGTCACAGTGTGGGGAGCCCACAGTCCCAATCACCCCATAGTGCTGGTTTCCTGAAGGGTGCAGACAACACAAATTAGCCAGCATATCTCCACTGCCTGTGAAAGCACCCTTATCCCCATTATTATTATGAGAGAGCTGTGCTCCCTCCCAAGCTCAGGGTCCAGTTAAGTCTTGCCTCCCACTGGAGAAAGGTGCCAAATCCTTTTTCCCATTTGGGAGTGCTCCTCTTTGGGAGCTAGAGATGTGGCTGGCCTTAGTGGGCACAGGGGAGAGGGAGGCGGCTCTGGTGCCATTGCTTCCCTCCCAGGTGGTGAAATACAGCTCCCTTTGACTACATTGCACAACCAAATCCCACTCCCTCCCACCTTTCCAGGGAAAATCATGTTGCAGCTGACCTAGAAACTCCATCCTTCCCCCTTCAATGACACCAAGAAAGCAGATTACCCCCCCAACCACCGACATCTGAAGATAGGACTAATGAACACACAGATGGGTGCCTGCTCCTGACATAGTATGTGCAGTGTTTGCTTCCCATCACTGCAGTCCATGCCTTCACATCATTGTGCCGCTGTTGGGATGTGAGGAGCCGCTACATTCCCCTTCTGCCCAGCAGACTTCAGTGTCAATTGCATGCTTTGGGCAAAAATAACAATTGGAAAAAGTAATTGCATTTATCATGTTGACGACTCAGCCAGCTACATAAGAATGTTACATAGCAAAACCACAGAATTCAGCCTGTTTTCACACAGACAGCAGAACAATGACTGGCAGGAGTCCCCTGACATCAGACACTTGCCTTTAAATCAAGCAGATTTTCCACCAACATCTCAAATCCACCAACCTGGGATGCCACAGCAATTCAGCCTTCAGGTAAAGCTGAAGCTGATGAAGATACCAACAGCCAGAGGACAATTTCCAGCAACAACTAAGCAGGCAGGAATACCACAGCAGACTTATTCTACTGTTTTGTCAGTGGAGGCTCAGAAAGATGTAGGATTTAACTTCTCAAGTCACACCATGATTCATAGGAAATTAAACTTCCCATGCTTGAGGCAGCAGTGATGGGTGACAGATTATGGCAGATGCAAATGATGGCTCTTCCAGTGTCACCATAGACTCCACAGATATGTGAATTGCAGCTGCGCCTCTTACTGTAGCTTTTCAACCTGCACAGTACTCTGTGTTACTTCAATCTAGACTTGCTTTCTTTCCTTAGCCCACTAACTCTGGCCCTGTGTAGCCTGGTCACTGTGCTTGCACACTGTTTTCTTGCACAAGGATTTAAGATAATGTAGTGAGTCCAAGTCAGAAAACAAACTGTTATTGAACAGGCTCCATCCCTTCTAACCAAAGAAGGCCACAAAAATCCCACCTGCTCTTTTGGACTGTAGTGACTGGGAAGCCACTCTGAAAGTTGTATTTTTTCAAAGGAGATTAGCTCCAACTTGAAACCAGCTCACCAAAACAGTCTGCACAAGCAGCAAGTAAATCCAACTCTTCAAATGGTTGCATGGTCACTTCATCCAACACAAGAGACAAGGTGAGGCAGGAAGCAGAAGAGCAGTGCCCAGCTAGATAGGTTAGCCAAAACATGAAGTTGTTCCCCAAAGCCTTGTCAGCAAATGTAAGTTAAAATATGTCCCTCTGTGATTCAGTGATCATTGGTCTTCTGACTCCATGGTGTGTAAATTATGTCAGTTGTAATCTCCCTAAGACTTCATTGTGTTGGCATAAAACACCAAAATGAATCTGCCTGGGGCATTCTTCTGCTCACAGGATATAAACAGTTGGCAGTGACTGATTTGCCACTTGTCAATGCACTCTCCAAACCTCATCCTGCAAAATAAACTGCATTAGCCTAATGCAGTTTACCTTCAAGCCGCAGTAAAGCCATCCCTGGCATTAGCTTGTTCTTCTCAATGCAACTTGAACTGTCTTAGATCTTATTTAGTGAACAACTTAAATACATAGGAACACCAGTGCAACTACAGTTAAATTGGTCCTTGATATTGGTTCATGCTGTAAATACAGGTTGTGATTGACATCCTTGTCCTCCAGGTCTTCCTGTGCTAGCAGATAGTTTGACCACAAGATACTCATTGGCACCTCCCTAGAGAGGCTGCTACCCCACTGCTGCTACACCACAAACCCACTGATGGATTTAATCTTTTCAAGCTGAGGTGGACAAGAACCAGTTCCTTGTGGGTATGCAACATTTCAGCTATCACAGCTGCTTACATTGTGAACACCTATCTAAAGATTTGGAGCTACAATCAGCATCACCTACAGCAGTTTTAAATCAATTTCGAGATGTTCATCTAAGAACTTGTACTACATTGGTTTAAAAATACCTTAGTTTTTTTTTTTCCACATTTATGTACAGATCAGGATAAAAAGATATCTAAGAACTCTCAAGTTCTACCTCTCCCAAGACTTTGGCACTTTTGGTATGGACTTCAACATAAGCAGGGCTTTAGCTTTTCCTTATGTGCAGATGTCAGTCCCAATCTGGCTATGCCAGTGTAGCAGTGCTGGTTTAATCTGGCTGGGATTCTGATGCCCTGCACTCAGGTATGCTGTGAGTTGGTGAGCCTGGATGAAGATCCCAGACAACACAAATTTCTGATCAAGCTGATTCTTTGAAGCCTTCACCCCATATAACTGCCTCTACACTCAGCTTCCAGTTGCTGTGGCATGGTCTACTACAGAAAATAAATAAATAAAAAAATAAACCCTAGTATTTACTTCACTCCCCACATCTGCAAACTGGGACCAACTCTATCTTCAACTTTGCTCTGGTGGCTTAGCCAACAAGGTCACTCAGGGCTTTGTTATCTTTCCAAAATTTTACTGTCTCTTTCCTGAACTCTCTCCAACATTTTGATGCTTTTACTCACCACAGCAGCACCGTCATCAGGAGGAAATAAATTAGAGACACTCTATGCTCTTTCTACCTCCAAGTGTCCTCCTGCTCAGTTACAGCTCAACACCAAGACCATCCAGTCAGCTGATTTTGGCTGGTGAAGAAGCTTTTTCAAAAAAAAAAAACCTTCCCAAAAGCTTCTTCAGGATCCTTCTTCCTAGAGTTCACTGTCTCATAAATACAGCTTTTATTCTTTTTTCTTGTGTTCACCTGCATCACTGTATTTGTTACTTGCTTGAGCCTGGCTCCCCAAGTGCTCTGTATCCCTCCCTATCAGTGACCTCCCCTCTCCATTATTTACTGTTTCCATCTCATCACACCATCAACACACTACATCAGTGGTGATTTTATGTTTTCTCCCATGTCATTGATAAAGATATTAAAACCAAGAATACTGGAGGGACTTTGCTACAAACACAGCTGGCAGATGATTTACAGTTACATTTGGAGACTTGTCAGGGAGCCAGGTTTTAATCCATTTAATGCACACCCTCTTGATTTTATACTGCTCTAGATCCTTAATCAAAATGTCATGTGGTACCCAGTCAAATGTCTCACAGAAGTCTTGTATGCTACTATCACTTTTATCAACTAAACTAAAGAGAGGCATCCCATTTTATTTTCCATTAACTCATGCTGATTGGCATTAATTACAATTTTCATCCTTTAATTGCTCATGGACTCCCATGAATAAGGGCTAACTTGCACCACCCAGTGCACCACTAACAGCATCCGTCTGACTCATCCGTGCCACAGCCCATGAGTATTTTGAGAACAGCGATCCTGTGAAACCTAAAGCTGGACCTGGGCACTAGCAAAGCTGGGAAGTGGCACAATAGGGGACCATGGAATCATGGTCTTGCTGATGGCTTTGCCTCTTCCAGAGGGCTGGAAGCGCAGGTGAGCTCATTTTGGACACTAAAAGGATGTGAAGAATGGCTCTGTCAAGTGAATCAACCGCCACCAGTCTTTGAGATAGCACTGATCCACACTGGAATTGCTTACCCAGGAGTGGTCAGGAGAGACTTTTTCATGGCACAAGGAGTGATACAAAATGTTTCTCTCATTGCAAAGAAAGGGAAGCTGTTTATTCAGCATACCCATGAGACTGAAACATACTTCTAACAATAACATAGCACGTGTTATCTTATTATCACAACTATTTGGTTTGCTTCCTTGAAGGCTGAACATAATTCATTAGCTTACCACTGAGTCACTGCCTTGGTTTTTTCAACTCTCCAAGTGAAATATAGGAAGAAGTCCCACAGCACCTACCCACAATACTGACACATCTATGACCCTGGATTGTTCTCTTTTTATCCTTTAACTCTGTGAATCATTGTTTAAGTGTCACAAATGGAAGCAATTCCTCACCAAGAAACTACAGAGAATAAAAGGAAGCAAGAATTTCGCTTCAAACGTGCAAATCATGTTGGTTTTAATTTTGATGGAGTTGGCATTTTTAAAAAATTTGGAGCAGAACAAAAGTATTTGTTTTACTTTAAACTTTTCATTTTCTTATGAGGGAGGTATTTTTTAAAAAATTATTTAAATAAAACTGAAGGAAATTTCTAGGAATAAAAGTGTCATGTTTTGTGGGAGAGGACAGACTATAAGAGCTGAAGTCCTTCCAACACAATAGCATAGGCACATCAAAGTGAAGTAACTAAATATTTCAGCATCAGTAAACAGCATTTGTTTATTTCCTACAAATGTCTTAGCTGAGGGATTTTTCCAATCACCAGTCTTGGTTGGTTACTACCAGAATTCAACTGCAGCCTATCTCCATTTAAAGTGTGCAAGTCCAAGTAAAGAGGAGATGAAAGCCCCATTACTACCACAAAAAGTAATTCCCATAACAAGATCTGCTTGGATGGAATTGAAGTACCTGATGTAACTACCTAGAAAACTCTTCTGGAAACTTGGGTTTGGAGCCCCGTAAATCTGAGCAGCAGAAGGAGAGGAGGATGGGGGATGTAAGACTGCAACTCCCCAGACAGGACCATTCTCACTGGCTTTTTTGCTTTTTCCACTTGTCCAACACTGAAGAAAATGACTGTGCTGGACAGTAGGGATGCTTCTCTGCTCAGTGGTGATTATGCACAGGCTCTTCTCTGTCCCAGGGAACAGCACAGCAGACAGCAGTCTTCAGCTGTAACACACTCTAGTTTTCATCTTTTCTCTGCTTAAGGCAAAATCTTGGCAGAACATGCTGGAAAAACACAAAGGATATTGCAGTCTTGGGGTTAATGGCTATGCTGCTGAAAACTTTGCAGAGCCTTTGACTTCTCTCATTAGCAAGCCAGAGATCTGCTTTGGCATTAGATGTCACCTGTGAATTTGGAACAATCCCCAACATCCACAAATCTTAGCAAACATTCCCTCAGTGTAACCCAAGTGCCTGCAAGGGTGCTAATCCACAGCCAACATTCATTTGGCTAAATTATTTTTAAAAGATGATGCAGCTAATACTCCTTATTCCCAAGAATCCTGCATTGTTTTCCTTGTAAATTGCTCCTCCAAAAGGATAAAAGCTACAGCTTCTCACTTTCCACTACAAAATAACCTTTCTCTACTGGAGCAGCAGCCCACGAACATCCCCAGGAAAAGTGAGATGCATCTGGTGAGTCTGAGCCCAGTCCCCAGCCACAGCCAGAGTGATGGTCAGGGGCCGTGGCTGCTTTTTATCACCCCTTGCTCTTTGTGCTGAGCCTGGCGTTTATGGCTGTTTCCCTCCTGGCTTTGGATGTCCCTCCCGCCGGTGGGGCTGGGGGGCAGGAGCAAGGCCATGCAGGAGTCAGCGGCATTGAAGGGCTCTGCGCTGGCAGAACAATGGGTTTGCTCCAGGCAGAGCTACTGACTTTTAACAGCTCTTTGCCAGTAACCCCATACGGGATTGCATCATGGAAAATCCTAGTGGAAAGGCAGGAACAAAGGAAAGATGTCAGGCTGCTTTTAAAAGGAACTTGTTCTCAGGGCAGAGGAAGCCCTTTGGTGGCCAGAGTGGGAGGCTCAGCCAGAGGAACCTGAGCTCTATTAAAGACTGGAGGCAAATCTGGAGACATACACCAGATGGGAGAGATGAGAAAAGGGCAATGCTCAGGAGGCGACAGCTTTGCCTCACTTTGCAGCGTTCCTGCATTGTCTAGGGATGAAGTGTGTGTGTGTCTGTGTCAAAAAAATTCCTATGCAGATGTTATGTCTCTTTATTGAATTGTCCCCATAGTCCCTGAAGAGTCCAGAGTGCCGGTCAGGACAGAGGATGCAACAATGCCCACAAGCTACTGAGCTCTCATCTCTGATCCAACATCCCCAGAAAGGGAGCCAGGCAAGAGACATGTCCCTGAAAACCAGGGCTTGGGACACTGCCTGGACTCTCTCCAGGCCTGGGTAGCTGAAAAGCACCCAGAGCTGATTTTATAATGCATGACAAGAGATTTTGGTCAAGAGAGACTCTGTTCAATAGAAATGAACAGTGAAAACACAGTGAAAGGTACAAACAGAATCACCACTCCATTTCTGAAGGGATCACAGCTCTAAGTGGTATTACACTGCAAGCCCAATGAGAAACCTTTTGATGGGGGATTAGAAAAGCAACACCACTTCTGTAAGTATGGAAGAAACTCCTCATAAGAAGAAGGAAAACTCCCAAGGAAGAGCCCAGCAAAGACACTCTGCACTGCCCAACCATGGGCTCGCTGAAGTCCATATACCATGTGACTTTGGCTTTGATGCTATACCTAACTTACAAATACAGACCTTCTCGTCTGCCTTTCTTATTCTAAACTGCTCTTTCTTTAACCCTCCAGGGACAGCATGTGGAAGGATAGTGCACAGCAGGTGCTTGAGAGGCTCTGCTTCCTACTTTGTTGTTCCACCCAAAACACTCCATTTCTCCTTGGCAACACAAGGAAAACTTCACCAGCCAGTGTGATGTACTTACATCCCATGGCAAAAGGAAGGACACTTAGGTACCATCCATAGAAAGGAAGCAGCAGAGGCTGTAAGCAAGTCTGGAAAATGAGCACATTTGCATTCTCATTAGCTATATGGAAAACAGCTAGGGAGACTATTTTTTTTTTTTCTTTTTTTTTTTTTTTTGGCAATACAGCTAGCCATTGACTTGCTTACTTGGCTGAATGACTGATGCCAAGAAGCAGAAAAGCAAAGCAAGAGAGCTGGCCTCGAACCAAAGGATTTTGCAGAGCTCTCATTTTGCATTCATTCTCCTTAGTCCAGGGGTCTTAAGTGTTGTCAGTTTTAGGGCATGATTTGGAAACTGGATTTCAGAAGGAGCTCTTCCCTATTTGCATACGGGTGTCTCTGCCTTTCATTTCACTCCATCCTTGGTCAAACAGTCCAGATTTTGGACAGAAAATCCTTCCCAAACTCCAATGCCACCATGCTTGTGATGTACAGGGGTGGTTGACTGGAGCAGGGCATGGAGCAGGGCTGGCCCTGCTCTGGCAGCACGGTCACATCCGCAGTGCCCGGCTAGCTCTCCCCACTGCTGGCTGGGGATAGCTCAGCTGCCACTCCTTGTTACAAAAGATACACTCTTTGCTCAGCCACTGGGCACTGGGCTGCTTCAGTCCCAGTAATACTGGCAGTGCTGCTGGGTGATAAATAACTGAGGGGACAGCTCCCTTGCCTGAGAGCCCCAGCACAAACTGGATATCTCAATCACCTTGACCCAGTCGTCTCCAGAAATGGCAGCCACAGCAGGTACAGCACACTTCTCTCCTGCTTGTGCCAAGCACCATGATCAGGGACATGATGGCCCCATGCAAACACCATGGAACAGCCTATCCCAGAGTGCAAAAAGACTGGGAACGCAACTGGTTTTCAATTACTGTGGCATTATGTGGGACTTTGCTTGGAAAGGTTTGCTGCTCTGGGCTGCCCTGAGAAATCCTGACAAGAAGTTGGAAAAGAGTGAATCAGATATCAGCTGTGAAGAGAAACCCTTCTCCCAGCAACTTCCTTTAAGATTAGAGGTGGTTACGTATCTCAAATCTTTTTCCCCACCATCATTTCAAATAAACAGTTTAAATTTGGTCTACCTGTATTCACATGCTTTTATGTTTGTGTACCAATAATATTCTAACAATGGCCTTTACTGTCAGGAACATTTACTGAAATGGTAAATAATAGAAACCTCAGAAACACAGCAATTCAGACCAGAATCTGGTTCTGAAAGTCACGTACTAATATTTCAGAGAAGAAACAATGCCGTGTGAACGTTCACCTAAGCCAAAGTCACAGTACAGCTGAGATTTCAACCATTCACTAGTAACAGGTTCATTATCAAGATATATTGCCTGAATTATTCTTAGATGTTATTAAGAGAATTATTCCAAATAATTAATATATGTAAGAAAATTACTGGCTCTGAACAGAAGAATTGAACTTGTCATATTAGAGCTGAATAGGTGCCCTGCAACTATTCACTCCTCTCTTTTGGATACACTAATTTCATCAGATCCAATCTTTAACCCCATTGGCGCTGAAGGAAAAGTTCTCCTATAGTTCTCTACTTGCTGTGGTTTGGGACACAATCCCCAGGAACTCCATCCCTCTCTGTAGGGGGACTGTGGCCTTGTTTCACGGGCTCTCCATTGTATTTCAGGGAGGAGAGTCATAGTTTTACCTTTCACTTACCCCAGGATAATTTCTGTGGTCTTCAGCAGAGCTGTGGTTACACGTCCATGCACAGGACAGGAATTGTCCAGGTTTAATCTTGTCCACAGTTCATTGTTTCAGCATCTCAGAGGAGGTGCAGGAAACACTGCGAGCAGAGGGAGGTGCTGGCAGGAGCTGGCAGGACCTGGTGGTCCATGGCCAGATGGTGGGGACAGCCAAACCAGGGGAGGCTGGAACCTGTGCCTGGATCTCCAAGAAACAAAGGAATCTTGATGCTGTTTGGGCTGGTCTCAGGAAAAGTGAGTGTGACCAGTATGTCCAAATGTAGATATGAGAGGAATCAGATCCAGAAGCTGAAATTCTTGATTTGTGCTGTCACAGAAAAATGTGGTGGTAAGAACCACAGATTCTCAGCAGCCATGCATTTTGATAACAGCTTTACCAAGTGTTGTGGGGTTTTTCCATTGATTTGTTTGGGGTTTTGTGCCTATGGTACTTTCCAGGCACCAGAAATTGCTGTAGCTCTCTGTGCCCACACAGCAGCACAACCCCACTGTTACAGACAAGTCGCGTGGTGATCGGCTCCCGCAATTATGGGATGATTATGGTGTCTGTGTTAAGAGAAGTTTCATTGATGTATATGTTTCTGTGGTTTGTTGTTTGGATGTCCTCTGTTCTCCCCACAGCCCCCTCTCTCCCTGGGTATGGTTGACCACGGATGGTTTCAGCGGGCGGACATGTGGAGGGAGGCCATGCGCTAGGGCAGGCCTGTTGCCAGGGGGCGTGGCATGGCAACACCTGACCTCCAATCAAGCTGCCAGAGAGCCGCCTCCACCAATGAACGATGAACAAGAAGTTGACTGACAGACCTTGGGAGGGGCCAAGGTTACCTCATGTTATAAAAGGCAGAGCAGCCATTTTGTGAACAAGCGTGTTGCTGCTGGTCATGGAGACTCTCAAAGCTGAAATTTTCCCTTCTTCAGTCCCTTGTTGTATTTTGTTAAGGTTTAATAAACATTTGAAATTTTTAAAAGTGAGCCCCATTTCTCACACCACCAACTTGCACTTGCAGCACAGGTGACTTGTGCCCCACAGCTTCTGTCTTTCAGTCACACAATGAATTCCTGTTACCTGTAAGAGCAGCCTTCTCCCTAGAATCCCTCCAGCACATGTGATGGAGCTTCAGGATTAAGGATGTAGGATCAGGCTTCATGTAGAGAAGAAATAAAAATATAGAGAGACATGAAAGACAAGTATAATAACTAAGGGAAGAGGCATATTTACATGAAAGTTGCCAGATAGGTGGCTTGTTAACTGCATTGTGGCATTGTTCCTTGTCCTGTTATTCCCGAGGGCTTGATCCCTTCTCATGCAAGCCCAGGACAGGCTTAACTTGACTGAGGGCAGGGTCTAGGTTTTACCGGGCAACAGAGGTCAGTGTTGGGAAGGAGTCCGCCTAGCAGGGTTTGAAGAGGGATTGGGTGAGGAAGGGGCCCAGGGGTCACCATGGGGTCTGTTGCAAGACCTCAATGATGCAGCTCCTGGCATCCTAGCTACCCAAAAACATACAGAGCCTCAAGACCCAGGAGAACTTTTCTGCATCAACAATCAGCACAAAAAGTAGTAGCAATAACTAGTAGTATCTGAAAGGGGTTCTTTGCTATTCTCTCCCCCCCAGCTCCCCCTTTTTTTATTTTCCTGACTGACAGAGGATTTAAATGCAAAGTGGATCTAATGCACACCCTGAAGTCGGCTGGCAGTATGCAAATGACCTGTCAGATTAAAATCTGAATGAAAGAGATAACAAGCTTATCTTCATAACAAAAGACTCTTACGGGCAAACTATTTGACGCAGTGTTGATGTTTGTTTTAACCCGTGGACTTTGGACAGTGCAATATTTCAGGGGCTTCACTCTCCTCCCCAGTGCTTGCACGCCTGTGTGTGGTGTGTGTGTGTATTTGTATTTGCACTGGCAACAAAAGGCAAGTGCCGTGATAATAAAAGAGGGAGGAGCAAAAAAAAAAAAAGAAGCCTAGTGAGGGCTCTAATAGTTGATTTTGAAGTCTTTTTTTGGGGGGATGGCTCTGCAGAGCCAGTGCCAAACAACCCAGCAATAGGTCAGCTCACGCTTGCGACCAGCACTACAGCTGCAGCGAGAATAAGCAAACACAGCAGCAGGGGTAAGAATTAAAGGAGGGGGCTGGGGGTGAGGCGGGCGATTTATTCTTCTGGCACGTGCAGAGGGGCTGGAGATGGATCAGCTGTATTTATTCTGTGAAAAGGGGAAAGAAAAGGTGGCAAAAGAGCAAAGCAAGTTTCACTGCATCAGAGAAAACAAAGATTTTCAATAAACTCCCCATTGCCACCCGCTCCCTCGAAAAAGGGGGAGAGGAAGGGGAAAAAAAAAAAAAAGCTGCAGGTGTTTGTGAGGGGTCTGTATAGAAGCCGTGCAGGGAATTAGCAACTGAGGCAAGTTGCCTTTGGAAAAGGAATCTGCCGTGAATAGATTTGCATTTCTTAATTTAGGGATCATCAGCAAACAAGAGCCAGAGAAAGCACCCCTCTGCAGCACCAGGGGCTTCAAAGTGAGCAGGGCCGTGTGCTGGGCGCCCTGGGAGGCAGCCGGGCTGGCTTTTGGGGCTGGCCAGGCTCCCGCTGGGGCTGGGCTCCTGTGGCTGGTCCCGGCCGGACCCCGAGTCCCTCCGGCCACCCCGCTTTATCCTCCCCGCACAATAGGAGCGTGCGGGCATTGAGCGTTCCTCGCCCAGAGGAAGTGCCACCAAATCCTCCCCTTTCAGGTCCTTCCCAATCCTCTAAAGCCCCTCGGTTAATGCCCCACTGCTCTGCTCTCTTCCTGCTGGTCTCAAACCACCAAGCAGTATTTACAAGCTTTCCCCCACATTGCAATTCATTCTGGTGCCGACCCCTTTGCTGTAAGGGACAGCAGAGATGTGCTCATGCCGCAGGGACAGTGGCCTGAGATAGAGCCTGGACCTGCACCACCAAGCCAAGGCAATGCTCTCCACTCCTTGCAGTGACAATGAATCCCAACTGCATCCCACACCCAAACAATTTCCTGTTGTTCGTATATGTTCTTGTGTCAGGGCAGTCTTTGCACAGGACACCTTTCCATACTTTGTCTGTAGTGCTCCCCAGGTTCAGTCCTGCACTACAGAAATGTACCTGCTCTGAATTGCTCTGTGGCAAGTGGGCTGGAAGAGAAATCCCAAATGAATTGGCTTAGGTGAGACTGCAGATCATGAAACCACAGGCCAGGGAGAGCCCTCCAGGGCAGGTCACTACACTCCGTGAAAGGACCTTTCAATTCTGGAAGGGAAAAGCAAAAATAAATGTTCCATAGATGTTAAATGAAGAGGGATTTGAGCACTGCGAAGCTTAGCCATGATGCCCCTCCCAGGGGCTGAACATAAGATGGGACTGCAGCAGATAAACCTGCAGATGCAAAAGAACAGATGGAATATGTCAGAGATACAGAGCCATAGAATTGTCTAGGATGGTAAAGTCTTTTCAGATCATAGAGCTCAAGTGTCTACCCAGCACTGTCAAGGTCACCACTAACCCATGTCCCTCAGTGCCACCTCTGCATGTCTTCTAAACATCTCCAAGGGTGGTGGTGACACAGTTTGTTCCAGTGCTTGACAACCCAGTTGGTGAAGAGTGCTTCCTAAAATCCAATCCCATTGTAACTCCCCATTGTTACTTGGGAAAATCTGTGCAACAACTCTCACCAGATTTTATGGCTATGGATCATCTGTAGGTGGACTGGGATTCCTTGAAATTCATTGGTGGCCATTTCCAATTCTCACTTGCACTGTGGCTACTGAGGGGCTGCTTAGCTGTGATCAGGGATGACATGGTCACATGAAACAGCTTCTTAGCTGAATAAGTAGAACTCCCTCTCAGTCCTGTGGGAAGGGTTGAATATTCACTGATGTTCACTACTCAGAACGAACAGTAAGTTCCAGTGAAATACGTTGGTACAAACAGGCAGAGAAACCAGACAAGGGTAAAAATGCAGTTAAAATGTAGTGAAAAAAAAAAATCCAGATTTCCAGTCCTAGAATGCTTGCAGCCATGTTTTCAACATTCTGGGAAACAGCTTTGCTGGGCCTTCTCTTCCACTCTTAGATTTTTGTAGCTGGCTTGAGACCACAAGCTTGCAGTGAGCTTATACTGCTTGAGCTCACAGTGGGCTTCAGTTATAGCTCTCAGAGGCAACAAATGAAACCAGAAACAAGGGGTTGTCACATGAACTGTAACCTGGGTAACTAACTCTGAGAGGCTGGTCTCTAAATGGTCCTTTCACAGGAGCATGAAAACACCAGGAAGAGTAGTTTCCCCACTCAGGTACCCAAGACAGGTGTCTCAAGGCAAGCGCTTCAAAACAACACATTTTTAGTGACTCAACCCAAGGATTCAAAAAGAAGTGTAGACCACTGTCTTCTGAAATCCTGGAATATTCACTGCCAAGATTAAGCCTGGAACAAAGTCATACATAGGAATGTAGAGAAAGTTTAGGTCCAGGTTGTAGGAGGCTATTTTTGTTCTGGTATTTCCAACAGCAGGAAGAGCAAGTGTTTATCCAGCATATCTGAGTAGTCACAGGTCCATGGGGACATGCCCTTGCTAAAGAGAGGCACCCCAGCCAGCACAGCTCTGCGGTGCTTAGGGCTCATGCTCACCATCTGAGGCTCCTCCAGGCCAAGCCTGCCAGCAGATCCAAATCCTGTTGCCTGCTGAAGCTCTGTTCAAGGCAAGAATGACCCTTAAACCAGGAACTTCTTGGGAAAGAGCAGTCGTGACTCCACTCAAATCGACAACAAAGCTCCATCTGGCTTAATTATATTCAGCATTTCATGCCATCATGTCTGTTAAATGCTTTAGAGTGCCCTACCCAACTTCAGTGCTATATAGACAGTAAAAAGCCATGAACACAGCATTTCTGCCCTTGTCCTTTGCATAATTTGTCTGTTAGTGATTTTGGTTTTAAGAACTAGCAGTGAACAAAAATCTGTATATTAATTAAGCCTATGGGGCACATAAGGCAAAACCTCCCTTGTGCTGGGCATTCACTTTTGGTCTTTTCTCAGCAATAAATCCAAGCAGCAGGATCCTCAGCTGGCATGACTCAACACAGCTTATTTGAACTCACACAGTGACATGCTGCTCCTCTGCAGCACAGATCCTGGCTCCATCTACATAAGCAAGAGTCTGTGTTTGCTCCAGAAAGGTAAGATAGGATCTAGAGAGATGACACTACCAAAATGAGGGTGGGAGGGTAAAGCCAGACAGCTGAGACAAGGCAGACAGTCCATGACAAGCTGGAATTAATATATTAATTTTTATACTTTTTTCTTTTCTCTCTTTTTTTTTTTTAAAGGCAGAAACTCCGCTGATGGGACACTGATGTGTAGTTGAGACGAAGTTCTCTTTGTCAAGAGCCTGTGTGGACAGCCCTTGAGGTTTTTGGCTGTGCTCATCCAAAAGGAGTTTTTAGATGACTTGCTTCCAAGCATTTTTTTCTCTAAGAAATGATCCATGTCCGGAGCATCATGCTCCATCAGAGACCAAGCTACAAAACCTTAAACTCATGAGGCACACTCTCTTCCTCCCCTTACCTCCTGTGCACTGCTGATGTGTGTGGGCAAACTCCATCAAATGAATATTTTAGGGCTGCTCTCCCTTTATCTTTGAGCACAGAGAGCATCTGCCAGTGCCATGACATGAGAGCCCTGGACCCTCTTTCCAAATCCTCCACTGCTTCACAGGCTTTCTTCATTCACAAATCTCCAGGA